TATTTAATACTGTAATAAGATGCTCATGTTTCTTTTCAAACCGAATGATTTTGGCGATTTCATTAAGAATGTATAATAATGCTAAAAGTATTAATTTTTATCATAAAGTTTTAATCGCAAGTATCAACTATCACATAAAAAGGGTACTATGGCATTTTATAGCATATTTTACGTATCTAATAAAAACATATTTATAACATAATATAGTATTTTATGTCATGTCAATAAAATGATACAATTGTATAGTATAATTTAACTGTTTCAAGAAATATAATTTGGAATAGGCCCTGAAAAAGAACAAATGATTCGCATAAAAATTTTACACAGAAATAAAATAGTAAGCGGACATTATTGATCGTTGGAGGTAGATTTACGTTTATGAATAGTTTACGATTTTCTTTAAAGTGTTATTATATTTTATAAGATACAATGTTTACACAATATCTATTATCACAGTTAAAAAACAGTTCTTAGTTTTGGCCAAAGCTTTGTTTAATTTAATATTTATTTTGTTTTCAATCTTTAAGTATTTTAAAATAAACGAAGAAGAATAAAAACCAATATTACGTGAAATTATTTAATATTTATTATTAGTGCCCTAAGTATTTTGAGAGTTTTAAAATTTTGCAAAATAATACTTACTATATTTTATATTGATTTAAAACTAAATTATATGTTTTTGAAAACATTAATTCCCTTAAAAGATATTCTTTTTTAATTCAACAGTAAATTGTCTAGAATTCTTGCTGTCTTAATTCATAATTACTATTATTTTACAGATTTTTTAAAAATAAAGTTGTTTCTAATGACATTCCTAATCTTGGTTTTGTGTTCAATTTTAAATAATTAAATAATTATATTTCAAATTAGTTGGGAAGATTTTTACATTCAAAAATTGTTTTTTTTTTTTTTTTTGAGAGAAAAAATACAACTTGTTTAAATTTGTAGATTTTTCGTACGTATAAATCCAAAATAATTTAAAAAAAAATTAAAAATACATTCATTTTGTATTGAACCAAATTCCAATTAAATTTTATCACTAACTATTACACCAATAATTATTATACTATAAAATAATATGTATGTTTATACTAAAATTATTCATCAATCCAGTGTTATGTAAAGAGATAATTGGGTCTTATCGTTATCTCCCTCTATTATTGTATCTATATTGATTCGTTAAATATGTATTAGGGTTGTATGATAATAAATCATAAAATAATGAAAATCACAAATTGTTCTCTCTATCATAATATTTACACCCCTCGTACATACTATAGAGACTATAATATTTTATTCCAACTCTCAAACCGGCATGTATAATCGATAGGCGTGGTAATCCGTTTTAATAGTATTATACAGAGGGTTTATAACACAATTACTATGAAATGACTTTTTCTTTTGAAAAATACATGGGTTTATTTGATAATGATAAACGGATAAACAATCGTGTTATAATTGATTTATTGTTTTTTTTTTCTATGATTATGACAATCGACAATTTGTAGAAAATATGCTTTAATATTTTAGAGCCCAATTGAAAACAATTATAATATGGTACACGAACTATTTGGATGGTGGAACCATTAATATATGGTATAATATAAAGGGAACAAATATCAATAGTTATAACTAATGAATTCATAGTTCAAATTAACTGAAAAGTACTTACATTTTCATTCAAATAATTAATTGCATTTAGGACTGTAAGTAATATCAAATTATTAAATATACGCGAAGGGATCAATAAATATAAATAAAATGTTTATTGTGAACATAACTAGAAAAATTTTTTTTAACATATATTTTAAGAAGTAATTTAAAATATTTATTAAAATTATATTTTTCAATGAATATTTTTAAAATGAAAAAATATAATTTTCTATCCTAAAGTTCTTTAAATGGTTTACAATTTTTGTTTTTTGTTTTTTTTATATTTCCAACTATACTACCTGATGTTTCAATATTACAATAAATATAACTAATATATATGAATTAATAGAAAAATTAATATTCATAATATATTAAATGAGTTAATTAATTTGAGTAAAATAGTCATTGGTGCCTGCAAATTATAATCTTGTCGGTACTCGCTACTTTTATCCAACATTATTGTGAATTGATAATAATTATTCACTTGTTAATTCATAAGAACCGAGTACTATTTCATAACAATGAGAAAGAAAATAGTTTCTGCATTCTTTAACATGAAAAGGATGTATGGTTTAATCACAATTAGTAATCTATACACCGTGAAAATCTTATATTTATTTTATGACACCTATAAACGGATAATTGTTTACAGGTCACGCAAAACCAATGCTGCATATCAATAGAAATGGAAAATGTATTTATTTTATTTTTTGAAAATATGAAATTGAAACATTTTTTGCAGATGAATTTGTTAGTTTAATATTTATTTGACCGCCAATAGCAGATTAAGATATATTTTAATACAAGCTGAAAAAAAAAACAATATAATGTTTAGAAATAAAACCATTTTAATTGCAATTTTATTAACTTGTGCAAAAAAAAAAAAAGTAAAGGAATAACTATTTTAATAAAAAAAAAATCTGATAATGACAACTCTTATCTAAAATTAATTTTATCTCAAATATTGAGAAATATTTAAATGTTTTTTACATTAATTATTTCTTAATATTGTTAATCTTTATAATAAATAAATATTATCGTTAATAATTTGAATATCTTATTTTCATGATATTATTCAGACTTATAGATTTAGATAAGTATACAGTATATGAAAACTATAAACTGACTTTTAAAATAAAAAAAATAAAACTATATATTACACCTAGTTCTCAGAGATATAAATTAGGGAGGGGGCAACTCATGCATTTTTTACGGTCTAGAGTAGAGATCACCAATTAATATTCAAGGCCACATAGGAAATTTTAAAAAATTTTGAGTGCCTTCAAAGTTCAAAGCAATTATTCTTAACATATTAAAATACAATAAATGTTTGACAAATTATATATATTGTGTTTCATAATGACGTTAAAAAACAGCTACGTCTAGTGGTAAATCAAACCAACTGACAAGGCTTCTGAGCGGTTTGGTAAATCAAACAATAAAATTCCATTTACTTAAGCAAACACTATCCGTTTTCAAATTCAACCGTTCTTTTTTTCTAGTCCATAATCATATAATAACCAAAAAATAACATGAACATACATCAAAACGAAACAAGTAATAACGTAATATAACAGGAATTAAGTTTCGGGGGTCGGCGGAATTTGACGTACTGTTGTTGACGTGTAATCGGCACGTTCCGTAGACGGTCATTCATTCACATTTTAAGATATGCTTAGCAACAAGTATAATATCTGCTTCCACCAAAAAAAAACCAATGTTTTTTATTATCCATTTTTATTTTTTTTCCTTGTTTGCGGATCAGGGCTGTCGCGAAGGGAGGTTTGGGGGGGGGTGTCTTCGAACTTATTTCATTATAGCCTAGAAGGACCTAATTTTACCTATGAAAAACAAATATTACATATTTCATAATACAGTGTATACATGAATAAAATTTATATTAGGTACTACTTATTATACAATATAAAATATTATTATATATATATAATTAAATTGTTATTTATAAGAACGTGCGACACTGACACACACACACATATATATATATGTTAAAAGGTAAAAATATGACTACATATAGTTAATTATACTACTTACATCGAGTAAAAAAACTTGTAGTCGGCATTTTTCATATTATTCACCCCTCTTGACTTTCATCTTCAATACAGCCCTATTGCGGACCGGATAAAATTTGTCTGAGGTCCACCCCTTCGTGACTATCCTTCTAGACCCCGGGTATAGAGTTTAGCTATTCCAAAGTCGGCACATCATCAAAATATAAATACGTCTTTTATAAAGCCATTGACGTGTTGACGTGTGACAAAAAAATGAGACGAGTATAATACAGTTACTTATAAAAAAAGTACAATTCATTAACTAGTTTAATGCCCTCTCTCACTACGTTAATCGGCACTTAGGTAAAATGAGCTACCAAGTCGAAAATTTAACAATAGCATGTCTTAATCTAGAAAAAACTGAAATTACGCCACTTCTAGTTCTGTACTGAGAAGAAATTGAACAAGTTTATTTAGTATCTACAGCAATTAAATAAAAGAGTATTTTCTACTCATTATTCCGCTTTTGTTATGTACCCTATATTTATGATCACGCGAGTAACTGTTAAAAATTAAAAAGTTCATACCAATAAAATCCATTGTCTGTATGCACTACTATATTTGAGCGTACATACGTACTACATACTAACATGAGTTTACGGACATATAGTATTAACATGTTGGTAGTCGTTTAAATACTTACATTTTTGCCGATTGGAAATCTGTGACTATTTGAAAATATTTTTATTTATTGAAAATGTTGAATAGAATTTGGGAGCAGTGATTTTCTATTTACTACAGGAATTTATTATCATCCACGTAGTCGTAACAATAGTGCACATATGTATATACATATATAGTAAAGTATAGAAAAGAAAAACATTCAGACTTACCCCTCTCTCTTGAGAATACGACTTGTCCCTAGTGGCATAAACAAATCCGAGTGATCCAGTCGTAAACAAATAATAAAAAAACAATCTCCAATTGTTGCACATAAATAAATAATGTAGAATATAAACTCAGCGTTAAAAAAAAAAAAAAAACGTCAAATAAAAATTATCGAAAATATAAGCTAAAACGATTTATAAGCTACACAATAGATAATGTACTTTCTTATACGTTTTTAATTTTTTTTCTTTTTTTTTTGGGAACTTTGTTATAATCACTATTATTATAATATGGTTTACTTAAATGTATTATATTTTCTTATAGTAAAAATATCTTCATAGTATACTTTATGTTTTTATTTTTTAGATAATATGATATTTATAAACTATAACCATTTTTAGATTGAAATTTGATTTATAAAATTTACTTCAAAAATACTTTTATTCCTTCTAAAATACATGGTAATTAAGTGTTAATATAATAGCTTCAAATACTGAAATCTGCTTATAAAAAATAAAAAACTACTATATTATGGATTTAACTTAATGGTTGTTTATCCTTAACTATAATAATAAACTATAATTAAAATAAAAACATAAATAATAATACATTCGAAACCTTTTTGACCTATGGAATCCGATCACATTTTTGCACCGGACTATGACATTATTGTGATAGCACATTTGTAGTTTTATCCTAACAATTAAATAATAATTTATGGTAAAAATAAAAAAACACAATATATCATATAAGATACATATATAAAAACGACTAAAAGGAAACAAAACACCACTACTATATACTAATGAAAAACATTTACTTCTACCGATTATTTATGTAAACGAGTGTGAGCGATACCTAATGTAGCATAAAGTTCGAAATCTTCACCGATTTTTCGCTGTCCGGGAATTTATTAAAATATTAGACACAATGATCCGAACAAGTAACTCGCGATCTCATGTATATCAATACGGAACACACAGAAAAAAAATGTAGCCTTTAATTTGATATTTCAACCATCCGAGGAGGTAGCGTTTGGTTTATCCACGTAAAGCTTTGGCGGCATGGGCACGACGTACTGTCCGGACGGTGAGCGGGCCGTCAAGGTTAAGGCGGGCAGTTGCACGTTGTACGGCGGCAACACCGATCCTGTTTGTTGCTGAATAACCGGCGGGATTTGCGGAATGTTGTTCTGGTAAAGGTTAGGAGCCTGGGGCACGAACGGGGCCTGGGGCACGAAAGGGGCCTGGGGCACGAATGGGGCCTGTGGGACGTACGGGGTCTGTGCTACGAATGGTGCCTGCGGGACGTACGGGGCCTGCGGTGGGACGTACGGGGCCTGGGGTACGTACTGCGATGTCTGTTGCACGTACTGCGGGGGCAGATGTACGACCGGTGGCAAAGCGTCGGACACCAACACCGGGGTGCCAGCCCCTATGCTCGGACTGACGCTGCCCGAGTTCGTACCGTAGAGCTGGTTGTTGACGGCATCGCCGGCTTGACCTCCGGCTGTATGATAGCCATCTCCTTTGCCGAACTGACCTTGTTGACCTTCTGCATTCGTTTTGATCGACGAATCGTGATATCCTCCTCCGTAAGTTTTCCCTTCTCCGTCCCTAAACCTGTAATTTATAAATAATGTGTTAAAATGTTTTACACGAATATCAATGTTAAGAAATTTTTTAGCAATTTTCATTGGGCAACTAACTATTTTTTTCTTAAAATAATCAATGAATAACAATTTATACATTTATTTTAACAAGATAAATCTGGAAACTTGAATTGTTATTTGATTCAACATTGGTATTATAACAAGAAAAAGATAATATATATTGATTATTTAAAATAAATGATAAAAATAAAATATCTGAACATGATTTTCACAATGTTAACGATAAGTTCGCCAACTGGACATAAAAATAATATTAATTTGCTAACGGAAATTCAATTTCGATTGAAAAATGAGTGTAATGTTAATATATACATAGATTTATAGTCGAAAAGTAGTAGCAGAATCTTCACTAGTGCAATAAATCAATTGTTATACCTTTGATCTTTCGCACCGTACTGAATCACTCCCCCGTGTCCTAGACCATCGTCGTAATACGTAGCTTTATTGCCGCTTTCATTTTTTTGATACGAAGTGCTGAATCCAGCGACTTGGTGTCCCTTGTTTCGTCCGTTAATACCACCATAAGCTCCTCCTTCCACACTTGTAACGCCGCGATCGTTGACACCTTGAAATCAATTTACTCATTTCGTATACATATGTTAGGGATGAAGTACGAAAATTGGATAATGTACTCGTAAACACTACACATGTCTATTGGATAAAGTAAATATATTTGAAAAACGTTTATTTTGTAGGTACATTAACCGGGTAATTTGTACATTATCAACCGTTGAGTGGATAAAGTGTTTTCATGAAATAAAATACGATAAAATATAAATTGCACATTATAATAAATTGTGTGCATTGATATTATATTTGTTTTGTATTATATATTGTAATTATAAACTTCAGTACTGTGCTATCGGTTTTCGAGTTCACTTGTTTGGTTTATTAATATTTATCTTATAGTTTTTTTTAACAAAAAAAACTTGTTTCTCAAAAAGAGAAATTTTATGAGAGTTTTAATAAATTAATTAATGAAAATAATAAAAATTCGGTAAATTTTACGGAATCAAAATATTATAATATACGGGTTATCTGAAATAAGAAACGTGAAAAAAAACAAATAAATCATAATGAACCATTAATAAATATTTTATAAGTATCGGCTATAAAAAAATCTTTGTGTGAAATATCTAATGTAAAATTTATTTTTGGTGGTCCAAGTTTTAAAAAATGTATGTGTAAAAATAATTGTTTAACAAATAAATGTACGGGTAAATATAAATCTGGAGAGATATTTTGCAACTCAAAATTTCACCTGAATCTGAACTGTTCCAATAAATAACTATGTTCAATATTATTTTTAAAATTTTTTCATATGTAAAATAATAACTATACATCATTTACTTAATAATTTTTTTTCGAATTAATATGATTTGATTTTTTTCCACTTTATACCTTATCCATAACACTCTGGATAATGTACACATTATATTATTCATATGAATAAGGTTTAATTTACCCAGGTAATGTGTAAACTACGAAGTTTACCCGTAACATATACATACAAAAATATCCGCACAAACATGCATATTCTTACATATTTATACGTGTGAATCGTATTATAATACTATTGGAGTGCAATGTGCACTGTTCGTAACTTATAACAACTAACCGCCATATGTATTGCCGACGTCGTATCCATTCAAAGCGCCGTTGTTGTCCCGATAAAATCCATTCTGATCCCGATAACCATTAGCATCGATTTTGTTGCCGCCGAAGGCCTGCAATGCCTGCAAACCGTTCAACGCCAAATTACTGCCAGCGGTAGCATACCCCTGGGGTACTTGGTCCACGCTCCAGACACCCGCCGGATTGATGATGGGTGGACCAGCAGGCTTTATTTGAACAAAATCACCGCCCATCACAGTGTCCAGTGTTAAATTTATGTAAAACGCCTGGACTGCCAATCCGATCCCAGTTAGGTGCAGCGATTTATTAGATGCCGTTGAAGTTTTTGTCATTATCAACTACCTGTTGGCCAATATTAATTAAATACTTTTACACTTCCAGTTTGCATATACCGTCGCTTTTAAAACCGTGATTTATATAATATGCGCAGGATATAATTTATGTGTACCCGTGGTAAATTGTTTTTAGTTTATAGTCCACTTTGATATTTATATTGCTATCATAAAATATATATTTATTTTTAATTTTATCGGAAATACTTTCAACCTAATGGTATATTTAATTTTTTTTTCGGACAAATAGTAATACACAATAATTCTTATTCAGTAGCGTGTCAAAATTGTTGAAAACAAATATAAATACAAATGTCAAATAGTTTTACTTATTTAGTTTTGATCATGCGAATAAGATTACACAATATATACTATATTAATTTGTTAATATGTAAATTTAAAATTAATTTAATCCGTTTTGTATTTCTATATAATATATTTTTACATTATTATCAACTTTTGATTAAGTACAAACAAGGATAGGTTTTCTGTCTATATATATTTTTATATCAAATTAATATTTATAAATATGAAAGTAATAAGTTCAACAACTCACAATGTAGATATATAAATGTGCAATGCATTTGGTGTTAATAGAAAATTAATTATACTAAAGTAAAAAGTAAATAATGCATGGTGCTTTAACAGATTATAGTCCATATAAGTACCTATATCCTTTTGCTCATCTGACAATTAAATATTTCTGGTGTATATTAGAAAATATATATTTATTGCTATGAAAAAGTAATTCATATTAAATATTTACTAATACATATTTAGCAATGAAATGAACAAGAATTATTTAAATAAAATATAAAATTTGAAAGTCATGCTAAGAACTCAGTTATATACATTATGTCAATGACGCTAATGTATGATTATGGCATAATGCGCATTGCAGCAAAAAAATACAATCAAACAATTATGTTTTTTATCTCCCGTAAACCGAATCTAATTTCTCAAAAGTGAATTTTTGTTTTCAAAGGTGCTTGTCCAATGAGTTCAATAAAAACTAAATGGTAATGTAAAAATTAGATCTAAATAAGAATTTGAAATAAATAATTACTTTTTCAATATGATTCATATTTTTATGGAAAGTATGATTAAAATGTGCTTAAACTAATGGTTAAGATAAAAGATGGTTGAATATGTTTTCAAAAAAGTATAAGATTTAAGAAAAATTTACTTAAAATATAATAGTTCTGAAAAGTTTTACAGAGGAAACTTATTATACAGTTTACAGTTCTAGAGGAAATTTATAGAATAGTGAATTTTCAATTAATATTGGTGGGAACAAAAATTCAAAAGTCATAAATGACTTGCTACTAAGGTAAAGAGAAAGAGAACATTAACTTATTTTATGTAGTTGTAATGACTGTAATAAAATGAATTACTTATGTATGTTTTATTATAAGTATTATATTGTATTATCATTGTATTATATGTACTTTTATAATAATAATCACTTAATTTTTAAAAAATGCCACTGAATATTTTATATTATTATTTTAAAAACTCGAAGTTTTTACCACCCTTCCAACAAAAAAAAAAAAAAATACGAAATACGCAACTGACAGATCCCCTTCTATGTATTGTATGTCCTAAAGATTTATTGCTGATGGAATCTACATTACCCTACCATATAAAATTAATAAATTCTCATGAGACAACCTCTATATATATACATACATATGACAGGCACTATTTAAAATGGAAACCTGTAAAAACGGACCAATTTTCATGATTTCAACAAACAGTATAAAAAATATAAAACAAAATAATAAATAATGTACCTATTATTATGTATAATAATAATTTGTTTTTTACCTTTTTAAAACGAAAAAAGAATATTTTTGTTGATTCCTTTAGATTCCGTCTTCAATTAATTTAATATACGAGTATTCCTATATTCATAAATCAGTAGTAACACATACATGATTGAATACTTAGATATAGAATAAAATAATATTTATATCTAAATAATTTATTCTTAATTTTATTTCGCTGTGAACAACTAAATAATTTTAAGAAATACTTATAGATACTTCAAATACATACTTGTAAGATATATCAAAGTAAAAATATTATTATAAAGATAAGGAATATATTTAATTATATCTAAAAAAGTTAAATAAATTCGAAAGTTTTAAAAAAATATAATACTAGAATTTAGTCTTACCATGAATACGAAAATATATTCCATCATTTTTACAAACTTTATTATGACACAAATAATATATAATATAATAATAATAATATAATAGTATAATTGTATACTAATAATCACAGGAGGCGAGGGGCGAAAAGGCCAATTATCCCTCCAACCTCTAAAAAATTGTATTACTAATTTTTTTTTAGTATCAATGATTTAATAAGTTTCACCGCGTAAAATTAATGATAGTTCATAGATTTTATTTTATTTTGACATATTATGAGTTCTAGTTACCTTATTTTTATAACAAAATGATTAATTATTTTTAAAATAAGTTTTTTATTTTCAAGTATGAGCGTTTTATATAAATGTCAAATTGAAATAGTTTTAATTTCACTCAATCATCATCAATCGTCATGTATATTTAGATACACATTGTTATTTTATATAAAAAATCCAATTATTTCAAGGTAGTACAATGACCCATACGGAACGTCTATAAGTATTACCATTACAGTTGTAAATCGTAACTCAGACGTAACAATTTCTTGTGCAGTATGTACACTCCATGTAAGTATTCAAAATTAATCAATGTCGATTTGGATCAAATAAAAATGTAAACATTAATTTCGTTGCGATACAAGATATAAATACTTAATGCATCTAAACATAAATATGAACGGTACCATAAAAAAAATGATCACGTTTTATAATTATACAAAACAATATGTTCAATTTACCTTTTTACCAATTACTTAATCTAACTGTATGCGAAAAATACAAAGTATCTTTTATACGTGTACTTGATTTAATTTGTATCGTTCATAGTTATTGTTCAATGACATGTCCTTAAAAAAGTGATGTAAAATTAAAACGTTTAGGATAATTCAATACGAACATGTCGATAATAAAGTATTATCAAAGAAATATTATTACAATACGAGGTTGTGCACTCTCTATTGTACACGAAACCGAATAAAATCGTGATACTAAGGCTAGACGAATTGTACGAGGCCGAGCCCTTTTTTTTGTTATACATATAAGATAGATATGTGAAACTATAAGGTCAGACGATTCATTTATTTAATTGAACATTTTCTTAGTTGGAAAGTAATAAAGAATAAAGACTATTGTTACGAAAAACATTTATTGTATAATTAACGTATAATAACTATAATTAATTCTATACCCATAATTTGCCCGTATTTGTGGCAACGAAATTCCATACACAAGAAGAAAATATCCGAATTAATTTTGTCATTAATAACCGTCAACCGTATTACCGACTATTTATTAATAGTATATTTCCAAACACAGTTCCTCGAGTTTATTATTCATACTGATAAATGGAAAAAACAACACGGTTGTGTCCCAATCAATTATAAGTTATATGGTATGCAAATGTATACGATAAGAATATTTTTCACTTAAATTTCGACATGTTGAACAAAAATCTTTCCGTAAAGATCACGTTTGGTATACACACTAACCGTGTCGAAAAAATACACGCACCAGCCATAATAACATATTATCGTAAACTTGATGTAGGTACCTACTTGTTATCGTCGCAGTTATAACTTTACAGCTTACCTTTATTTTATGGGTTTTAAGTTTTTTTTTTACATTTTTTTCATGTTACCTAAACTAGAAAAAAATTACACAACCGTGCAATGGATACCAGAATAAACGATATTTATACGCGTGTCGTAGTAAGCGGAATGTATGAACTTACAATAATCACCACCGGTCGGATCGAATAAACTTGTTGATGCACACCGCACGAAACAAAAAAAAAAAAATCAATTAATTTTTATTTTTTTTTTTTTATATAATTATTATTATCGTGTGACTGTTGCCGTTGTCGTCATTACATACGGGCGCCTGCCAATAAACACTGCTGCACGCCGCACCACGCTGCTGCCGCGGCTATCGGTCGTTTTCTCCACGAGCTCTGTTTCGCGGAGTAAACCGTGTAACGCGAAACGTTTAACTAAAATTTACATACACAAACCACTCATTCGTTTTGGCTTGTACCTACCACCCGAACCGTTTTTACAGTTTAACGGTGAATTACCGGGTTCAGGGTCAATTATCCAACGTAATCAGGTTGCTGCGGTGCATTGTGTCCGCCCGCCGCCGTCAAGTGAACACCGCGCACAGGTTACACTGTTGTGTGGTAGGTATGTGTGGGTGTACGTACGACTGCGTGTACATGATTGTATTCTATAAGGAACCGCATTGACCTTCAATTAGAAACGTGTCGTTTTATTCGCATTCCCGACGGTCTTCTGACTCGTGATCAGCAGCGTACACGCAGGATTTTAGCTCGGTTAGGATTTTCACTAATGATCGACAATACAATCGACCGGATAATGTCAACACCGTCTGCTTTGGGAGGCGAAAAGTACCTTTTTTTTTTTTATCGAGGCGCTAGGATGGAATCGTAGAATCCTGCCCCTGCCTACGCCACAGTTTATGATGCATTTTTACGCTCTGCGTACACCGTGTACCTTTACCGTACGTAAGCACCGTTTGCTCCCTGAATTATATACTATTAGCTATATGCATAACCATAGGCATTCCTGTATTTTAAGGGATGCCTACAATATTTTTGGACCCTTTTCTTAATTGAAATCCTCTCTTAACAAGACATGCACTTGTTTTGATAAATTATAATGTACGAATAAATATTATTACATTAATATTAAGTTACTTTTATTTAGTACTTTTAAATTTATTTTTCACGATATTTAATTTTGAAAATACCCGATCACACGAACATCTAATAACGGATAAAATGCTAAACATCTGTAGTATTTTAAAAACAACTAAAAATATTATATCTATTAGAGTATTTTTATTAACTAAATAGTAATTCATATAGCAAAACAATTTATCAGACAATATTTGCTTTAAATATTCAATAACCATCATTAAAATTATTAATATCGGTATTACTATTCCATAGTAAATTAAAATTAGTTATTCTTCAGTAGACAATTCTACAAAAGGTATAGATGAAGAACTCGTGGAAGTAATTAATACCAAATCATAATTTTTACAATTTTTTTTTTCGTTGCCAATTTTAGCTAAAAAAGCTAAAAACATATATTTACAATCATTAATTATTACTACCTAATAAGTAATAATAATAAAAACGTTGATTTTAGTTTATGATTTATGTTGCGCTTATCTTGTAAAATAGAAAATAATAAAATGCATGTTTAGCACAATTATATTACATATTAATCAGTGGTATATAATTACTAATACCAGGGTATATATTTCTTTGAATAGTTGAATCTATTATCTATTTCTAAGATAATTATAGTGTTGATTTAATTTTATTACTTGTACTTTTATAATCAATATTACCTAACTGTTATAATCAAAATTAGTTTTTCCACGCAAATTTAAGATATTTTACGTTTTATTTTATTTTTTTACCCCAAAACATAATTTATTCTTCGTCACATGTTTTAAAAATATTACATAAAATGTGTATATTTGCTATAGGGCTTAAATTTTACAGCCCAAATTAAATTTTGGGGGTGCACAGGCACACCCGGAACCGCCCGTGCACACACCTATGAGCATAACAATATAACCTATACACATATTCATGGTGGCGTGGTAAAGGAGTTTTTATCATCTTACAGGTACTCAAAAGTTTTGTTTATATTAATTGTTTTAAAAGGAACTGAATTTTGCATTTATATTCTAAAAACTATAAAGCATACATTTTAGCATGAAATCTTAAAATATATTAACAGTGGGGGAGTATCTTTATGAAATATATATGGTGGATACTAAACTATATATGAAGGAATCATTGTTCGTAAATATTCACCACTGTGTGATAGGTAAGTACAGCTTTGGCCATATTGGCATTGTGCATATTATGTAGATATAACACGTACCTAGAGTACTCATAATGGCTATTAAATTTCTTTAGTCCGAGATGTTTTTCGTTGATTAGATTTATCAGTTGCGACTGTTGGGATTTAAAATAAAATATATAGATACATTTATACAATTAGTAAAAGAAGTATTCATCGTGTAGGTATTGTCTTGAACATGTTCTTGAATGATATATTTATAAAAAACGAAAACTGATTGAAAACACTAATTAATATATTTATTATATTTCGGATGTACTGTAATTCGTATTTATCGCGTCTTATTCAGGCGCTAACACTTGTTGTTTTATCGAAACAATTTCCAACATAAGAATTAGTATTGAATCATATTATAGATATAATATTATGACATCATTTACTAAACGAGTTCATTTTATGATAATTAATAACGTTGTCATAAACCTTCAGGAATTTTTATGTGCACGTATACCTATCGTAATTTTCCTTATTAATGTTATCAGTCGGTCGTTGCTGTACATACTAATTCCATTGTCGATTAATAGAGATGAGATTTGCAATTTCACGATTTTTATTTCTTAAACATTTAAACAAAATTCTACAATAATAATCGATTTATCGATCTATAGTTACTTCAACGCATATAGATAGATTCTTAGAAACGATAACATGCGCTAATAATAATAATTAGATGTACTCATATTATAATTGGTAACATTTTTGTTAGTACACTTATTACACATATATAAAATACTGTAAAAAGTAAGTTCATAAGAAATTATAATTTTAATTTTAATTATTTTTCCTGTCTATAATTAGATGATGAAACATACATTTGAATAATTTTTGTAAGGTACATCGACATTATTTATTCCGTAATTTTAAACTTTTGTTATGATTACAATCAAAAAAACACTTCATTTATTGAATGCATATATTTTTTCATTATTAAATCAGACAAAATATTTAATAAAAATATAGTATTAAACTATTGAATACTAATTTAAAATAAATAATTTTGATAATTTTAATAAATATAAATTAATATATTGTTATTAATTAACAACAAGACAAATTTAATCTCCGATGATCTTTTTCTGCAACGCATAAAGCAGATGTTTGAATATCAACATCTTCTCTAATTAACATTTCTCTGAAAATAATTTATCCAAATATTAAAAACAAACAATAACAAACAAATTAATGCAAAATAATAGTGCTTAATGTATCTATAACACAACCTTATGTAATTTATATAAATTGGAATAACTTTATAATTCAATATACGTCAATATTTTTTTATTGAATAACGTAATAACTTTTTAATACGTATACTTATTTAAAAGTATATTTATTTTTATTTTAAAATCCCAAAATGAACTTAAATCACTTGAAATAAAAATTTGACTTAGTTTAGACTTATCAAGTATAAGTCAAATTTAATTAATTTATATATTTTATTTAAGAAGAATTATCTGAGAATAAATATAATAATTAAATGAGTATTTATATGCTTTTGCATATACTGATAAATATTTTCTCGCAATTATAGAAGGATTTTCATAGGCACCCAAACAAGAGTTCCAGTGAAGTTCAGGATTCTTGTTTTTGAGAAATAAAAATAAAATAAATACATTTTCGTCGACTTAAATTTTCATGCATATTACTTAAAACCCGTATCAATTACAATTATATACTTTTACATTTAATTAAAACTACGTCTAGATTTCAATGACATCATTTCACTCTAATGATCCGAAATTATTTGATGACCGAACAAACTAAACGTATGCACTGTCATACGAATAAAACGTCGTATTTTTAAATTTTTTTATTTTTGTTGTTGATTAGATTTCAAAATAACTCGCTTATGTCGTTTTTAAATTTAATCAATACGTAGTACAATGATATTCATCAGTCTAAATTATTTAATCCTTTTTATTTCATTTCATTCGTTTGTTATTAATTATAATTTATTCTAATTACCCATTACTATCATTATAATAAACGTATATTTATTTAATGATGTAAAATCAGTTCAAAATTGCTTTACCTAGATATCGTAACCAATGCGTTATTAATATTCGATCCGAGTTTAGAACTAGTTTCAAAGAATAATGCATTGTAATCCTTAGCCAAAAGTTCGCCGTGCTCTGTTGAAACACACGTTAATCCCTGTGACTCCGCTTCTTGCCTCAAGTCAACTTTATTTCCGCAAATACATACTGGTAACTGTTTATCAGATACATCCTAAAAATAGAAATACACCATAAAGGGTGTTAAGTAAATTAAATAACAAATGCTACTCATCATATAAAATAATTCAATAAATTACTTCTTGGTATTCAATATTTATATTTATTCAATTACGAACATGTTTATTATATTATAATCTTTGATAACGTAATACTAATGTAAAAATGTAACTAATTTTTATATAATTGTTTGTTATTGTTTGTAGTGATCAAAATAATTTTAGTAAAAAAACCACAAAACAATGGAAGACTCTGTTAATCAAATCCTAACTAATTCTATACGCTATAATAATATATAATTTTTACCGTAATTGATAAAATCCATTGACGGATATTGATAAAAGATCTTTCGTTCGTAACATCATAAAGCAATACAACTCCATCTGCTCTCCGGAAATATGCCTTTGTAATGGAACGAAATCTTTCTTGTCCTTCGAACAACAATGTTTGTAATATTACTTTTCGTTTTCTTTCGTAATTAGTAACTACTAACATTGATACGTTATTTGATAAAGATATCAAGTTATACAACAAAAATGAAAAACTATAGTTAGAATTTAAATTATGATTAATTTTATATTATGTCAAAAAAAAATAGTTATTATAAATTCTACATTTATTGGAAAAATATTCTTAACTAAAAGTATAACTTATAAAATCTACCTTTAAAGCGGTGTAATAAATATATCATAGAATTCAACAAAAACCTTATTCAGTTCTAATTACGATAAAAGCAGATTATTTTTTATTTAGCTGTTGATGTTCAATATATTTTTAAAAAAACATCTGTTAGATTTATTGAGAATATTGTACTTTACCAGCAGTATCCCATAATTGTAATGCTACGTTTCTATTATCAACTCTGATTGTTTTTACTTGAAAATCAACGCCTGTAAAACCGAATCATTTTTTTTAATATGTTTAATTGGTAATGATTCACTTAAATATAACTTCTAATTAATTTTACAAGTATAATATTTTTTTTACAAGAGCTTTGCATTTGAATGACATTTTATATTATATTATTTAAATAAATAACAAATTAATATTACAAAAATAGGCAGTACCTATGCAAAAATAAATAGATGTTTTTCATAATCCGCAAGCAGTGATGATAAAAACAAAAGTGAAAAGAGTAAGAAAGCTAGTTGTTTGTAGAAAAACAACAACATAAACAAAGTGACAGTTAAATATTACAGGTATAAATACTCTTATGACGACTTGATACAGTTAACTATTTTATTATTTAAAATTGATATCGTCATCCTGAAATTATTTTAATGAATTTAAATTTAAAAATAAATTCTTGTAGAAACTAATTGTACCAAATAGTATTCGTATAAATACATTTTTACAACAATTTTAGTATCAACCGAATATTTCGATGAAGGGACATTTAGGTGGATTAATTATTAGCGAATTGTCTTATTACTATAATGTGAGTATTTTACTGATCAAATGAAAAAACACATATTTTTTAAGTGAAATAATAATTTGAAATAAATTTTAACAATTAATATTGTTATAATATATAAGTCAATAGGTGTCAATATGCATGCTAACATCAGAAAACATATAAAGAAGGTGGAAAAATATTAAAATGAAGACAATATCGGTTACTCAAAAATTTTGTTACACAACATCGATTTTTAATTTTAATTAACTATTATGATTTTTTTCTTTAATAAATATATATTTTTCATTTGCCAAATGACTATTTATTAAAATATCCGTTCGGTTAAATGTCCTTTTGCTAAAACGATTTTGCTGAAATATATATCGTCAAAATGTCATTTTTTAACAGTGTTTATAAACAATAAATCATTGTAAGTTGAATCAGAAGAGAATATGATTTTATAATTCAAACGATAGATTTACAAGAAATACATATTTAATTGACTAACAAAGCAGGCAATTACTTTTCTGTCTACAATTAAATTTGAAATACAAATCGAAATTCTGATTATTTTTATTCCTAAATATTTAAGGTGAGTCGTAGCTATTAATAACTGCGCATATATTGCAAAATGTGTATTAAGAAGATTTTTAATAATAATATGGTAAAAATATAATGAAACTACTTGTATGTAATGATTCTTTGACGCTTTGGCTTTATCTATTAAATACTGATGATCGTACAAAAAATGGGGAATAATTTGAAACCTGAGTGGATCACTAGAACTGGTATTTTTATTATCTTATTATTTAATACTTTTGAATGAATTTCTAATGATTCATCCATTCGAAAAAATATTTTGAACGAAGGTTAGAGAAACATACATATTATTAAATATTTCGCTATAAACAATTATAAATCTGGTCAAGAAATTAAGGAATTGTTGGTATATTATAATATTGAAATTACAAAACCAAAAATGTTAAGCCAAATACTAATTTTATAAATACATTTTTACTAAAAAATACTATAGATATCAATTATATTACTCTTTTAACAACAAATTATTTATTCCTCATTGTTTGGTATACTATTTCTATTGCCTGTTCTTAATAATTAAAATATAACTCAAACCTAATGTGGATCCGAGTTTTGTAGCAAAAGTGCCTTTACAAAAACGATGAATGAAACACGTTTTACCCACAGCTGCATCTCCAGCGAATACAATTTTGTATGTTCTTTCTGGATCTCCATTGGTTATTTCATAACTATTTATACTCATCGCACTAGTAGGTGAGTGGAAATGCATAGTATTGTGCGATTCGCGACCGGATAAACTCATTTCCTCAAATTCTATCTAAAATAAATGTTATTGTTAATATTAAGGAATAAAAAGGCACAATATAAAATAATTATCCCAATACATTAAACTTTTATATCTTTTTAAATCCTTCAGTATTCCTTTCAATATTTATAATATATTCTCAACCCAACAAGAAAATTTATTTAGATTAGATTAGATAAGATACAGTTTTACAGTTTTTAGAGTAATACATCATTTATCGAGCGATAATGAATTAACGGAAAAGATCCTATATATTTCATGAAATAAAAATTCCATTTGGAGTTAGAAATTATTGGATTTATATGGCAGTATAGATAACTGGTTCGACAACATTTATCATGTTTAAGATTTGTTAACTTTGATTACTGTCATATGATTAAATAATCATAAATAATGATGTGTTATTAATATTAATTAAATTATAATGATAAACTATATTAAGTAAAATAAATTATTATATTCCCTTTATAAGTATCTTTAAATTATTAAAATAATATAGTAATAAGCAGTACTTGACTTGATGGGGGACGCAGAGGGATGGAGTACCCCAAATAATTTTCAGAAATTTCAGCGTCCCCCTACTATTATTACGTTATAAATATAACGCTTAACAAATCTTGGGAACGCTATTTTCTTTAAACTAAACAGAATCCCCCTTCTTTATTTTTGCCAAATCAAGCACTGGTAATAAGTAAAATACCGTTTTTGCCGAATGATAAGGTCCATTTATAGAAGATGCATTTGAGAGTTCATCTTGTAAATCCCTTTGGTAATAATTCGATTCCATAAGAGTTGAACGTCCGCTATCTGCAATATTATATGTTGAGAAAATTATATAGTTTTAGAATATATATTTTAATATTTTTAATACATGTAGAATTACCAATATCATCCATTAGTCTTTTTATAGTGTATTGGGCTCCACTTTCTTCTTCTAAAGGGTCGATATTAACTTGTATTCTAATAAATGTTTAAATTTAAATGTAAATAATATTTACTTTACATGTATATAAATAATTAATGACCTTGTAAGTTGATGTAACATATTAACAAAACATTTACACACTTGTTATTAAATTGCTCGCATTTCATTTCGTATTCAGACCGAAGTTTTTCCATTTCTGAACGAACAACTGCTAAATTCGTCTGCGTATCAATCAATTTACGTCTTAACTCTCTTGACTCTTCAATGGTTTCATCCATATCATTTTTATCCACTTTTTTCTGACTTAATACCGTGTTCACCTAAACATTTTTTTTTTTAGTTCAGTTGATACACTCAAATAAATATTATATTAATGGATAATTCTTGGAAACCTTTTGAAACAATTTCAAATGTGTTTTCAATTCAATTGTTTCAGCTTCCATTTTTTTCATTAATTCTTTTTTTTCAGATTCAAATTTTTCCCTTGCTTCGTCTCTGGCTTGAGCTTCTACTTTTGCTACTTGTGCGTCTATTTCTTCTTCCAGACCTCGTAGTCTCATCATATGCATTTGACGTTCGCTTAATATAAAATACTTGTAAATCAGAATATTGTAATGTTAAAAATGCATTTAAAAAACAATTGACTTCATTACCGATTAAACATTATTTCAAGTTTTTCATTGTCCTCATGTAATCGTTTAACATCTTGCATTAAAGAACTCAATGCTCCTTCAAAATGTGTTATAAGATCTGCTGATGGACTGCAGTTTTGTATTTCCATATACAAATCAGCTAATTTTTTCCCACTAAAATACATTAATAAACGTAATTTAATTACTTCACAACATTTATAAAGTCCCTTATATATAAACTAACAACAAAGTTATCCAAGAAATAAAACTTTTTAATTCACAAGTTTATTAAAAGTGTATTGTATGATAACTAAAATGATATAAATTTAAATGTTCTAGACAGTTTTACTTTGTATGGTAATTCTTCAATAAGCAAAATATACAATTAAATAAATACATTATTTTTGGACTATGATATTATGTACTTATTTTTTCTTTTTAATTATTAATTGTTTTCAATATGTTGACTGATTTAAAATACTCTCAATAATATAATTTTGGATTAAATAAAACACGACTATAGTATAATATAAATTTTGAAACTTCTATAAAATATATATTTTGAACATTATTTTGTTAACAAATCCAAAAAAAATTTTAAGTGATACTATTTTTTAATTGATATAATTAAATATATGGATGAACTTATTATATCAACTTTTCGTAAAATAAACATTTTCATTTAGAAACTATTTTAATTTAATTATTAACCAAGAATAATTGAGTAAAGAAAGTATTAGAATATTGTGTTTATCAATTATAAAAATGAGATATAACTTTATTTACTTTTGAATTATATAAAAATTAAAAACTTCAATAGCTATAATCAAAAATCTGATAATTTCTTGTGATACATTAAAGACATGACCATTAAATATAAGTAATATACAGAAAATCGAAACTGTGTAATGAATGGTATTTAATAATTATTTAATTATGAAACATTATCAGTTCGACAGTATAATAATAAACAAAACTTTGCTTAAATACTACCTTGTATGAAATAATTTCTGCAAAGCTGGTTCACCGATGCCAGCTATGAAATTAGACCAGGCGTGCGAGTGTCTCCTTTGCATATCTCCGTGAAACATAATTTTATCAGGTTTATCTTGTTTGTCAGGCGACAAAAAGTCCTGGAATCCCCATGCAAAGTCTTCCAAGCATATTTGCCCATCACCATCGCGATCCAAGTCGGTAAATATTACATCCGAGTCACTGGGGCCAATGTCGAATTTAGCGCACAGCTCTTGAAACTCAACAGGACCGATTTTCCCCTGTCCATTTCGATCGCACTCGTGGAACAAGTCTTCCAGATGGACGTCACTCATCGTTGTTCAGCCTTTCCAGCAGTTTGTTTTTTTTTTTTTTTTTATTAGTTGTCTCTATTATGTACTACATTATACCTGCAATTGCCAACTATAATATAAGTGGTGGTAGTGTACACCAAACCAACGATGAGAAAAACGCTCAGATTGATCATTCACAGGTAATAATAATTAATGCGCTGTCGATGAAATGGACACCCACTAACTATAATAATAAAAGATGTTTAAAAAAAATAAAATGACATATTTCATCACTGAAAATGACTATTGCGCAAATAAATTTTGCTGCAAAACTGTTATGCGTCCACATAGAATTTAGTTTATTAGACCGCGCGACGTCATTTATTTGTTCATTATAGGGCATGTTGTTTAAGCTGTTCAAACACTGCACGAATCATTGTATAAATAGTATCGCAATTTTGTTTTACATTATGCCTGGCTAAAATAAAATTTTGTAAAAATGAATAACATATATTCTAATTTATTATTTTTGTAAATAACCTGTAATAAATACTCTTTTCGTACTCAAAGATACAATTTCAATCAATTAATTGAGTATTAACTAAAAGATTAAGATAGAATTATTTTTACTACAATTATTTTGTTATTGACAAATTAATGAGAATTATGTAAATAATGTTTAATTTTTTTAACAATACACTTAGTTTTAGATAACAGTGGTAACTGACATTTTAAATTGTATGAAAATAAAATTAAGTTATTAATTTCAATGAAATTGCCGTATCGTTTTAAATTTGTCAATGCCAAATACTTTTTATGGTCTCTATATTTTACATTCAATTTTGGGTTATATTTTTATATATTATATTAGTGTCATAAAAAATTACCGGAATCTATATTATAAATTAAATACAAACATAATTTTAAGAAGTAACAGGTGTATTTTAAATAATCAATGAACATGATATATTAGATACATACTTATCAACACTAAATCAATAGCATTTACCATGTTATACATATCATTGCATGTAATGTTATACATGTACTGCTTGTTCAATTTTTGATTATAGGTATAAGAGTTATAATTAAAAATAAGTGCGTATAAAAGTGTTATTTTTCTATTTCCAAATAATTATAGATAAAATTATGTTATTCTAATTAACTCGATAAAATATTTGATGCATAAATGCTCGAACTTGCATAGAATAGTGTTTAATAAGACAATTTATTGAAAACATTTAGATACAATTTCGAACTTTTCAATACATTTTAAATGATAGTTCTGCTTAATCTTATTAGAAATATAAACAGTTATATTTCATTGACAACTTTTTTTTTTTTTAATTTTAAACTATCCAATATTTTTTTGGCACAAATATGCTAATATGAATCGCTTAGTTTTAAATTTAGAATGTTCGATAGACAATTAATTTTGAAAATATGACAAAGAGCATGATAATATAAATCATGATCTTGGTATAGATTATTAGAAAAGTAAAAAATAGTTATAAAATCTTTAGATTTTAGTTAGACTAAATTTCCGTGTAACAATCTTGAACACAACAATTTATTTTTTCTTTGCGCGGTTTTACGACCTAAGGTGCTAGGTGTAATCATAGTATTATAGTATACCTACGTACACCAAATCTAACCAACTCTTCCTCGTAAAGGTAATAATAAATAAAATTATGAAGTATAAAATGTGATATAGATAAAAACATATCAGAATTTAATAACTGAATGTATAAATATTTGTATTATTATTATGCAAACATTAAATTTAAATGAGACAGTAAATCATTGAAATTTTAAAAATAACTGAATTATGTACGTATACTATTTAGACATTTACATGGTTTAACAATTTTTAATTGTCTGAGACTATCATATAATAAGTTACTTGATGAATATAATTTAATTTATTTATTTTATTAAATATAATATTTAATAAACTAAATAACAAGGTAGGTAACTCAAATCTAAGGTAAGAATGAAAAAAAACCTGAAAACTCGTGTTATATAAATTTAAAATTAACCAATACATTTGAAGAGACAAAGAAAATTCTAAATAATATACTACGAGTATATGAGTAATTCTATTATGTTTTGAATATCTATAAATTAAATCGGTTAGTATATTGATGTTTAAACGATTATCTATATTTTTAACATAAGTAGAATATAATACTATTCATCTTATATTCATTTGCACTTAATAACTTTGTAAATTTGAAAAATCATGAAGTATGGAAATTTAAAAATTTCCAATAAGGTACTTATAAAATTTTATGAAAGTGACATTTTTAAAATATACTAAAAAAAAAAATAAAGATTTTTGTTATGACAGAATATAAACGTTAATTTTTTTATGATTTTAAACAATAAATTAAAATTTTATTATTATTATAAAATTTATAACACCCACCCACACACACACACACACATATATATATATATATATATATATATGATAATTATTTTAACTGACGGAGTTCCTCTACATTTTTCAATACAAATTTGATTTTTAGAGAAATATATTTAATTTGAGTATTATTTATTTATAGGATTATCAGAATTTCGTTTTGATTACTATGATTTGTCTTTTCAGCTTTTATACTCCAAATGATAATAAAATACTTGGTTATGCTTAACTGAAATAAATAAACTCTTGAGTCTTTATTTTATCCATCTAAAATGCTAAAAATGTTAAATTTTATTTTTTTTTTTAATTAAAATAAACAAAGTTTTAAGAAAAAAAATTGATTTATACACAAAAAATATAAAGAATTGTGCAACAACTTAATTTAACGATTTTTAGAACGATATATTTAATGTAGGACATAATTTGTGTACATAATGTAGATGTTGACTGTTTTCAACGAATACATTAAAATATAGATAATTTAAACAAATTATAAAGTTTTAAGGGTATACATTCTATGACACATTCATGTACTATCTAAAAACGTATTAATAAGTCAACAAGTTAGTTACAATACGTAGTTTTATACTGTAACAGTAAGGTCACACACTCACATGTTGTATTTGGCCTATAATAATGAAATGTAGTGACGGATGTACTTATATGATAGTACGCAATAATGCAGTACTATAATCATTACAGTTATAACCAATAAATATTACGATTGTAAAAACACTATGATTCTTTTATTATTTCAATCATTATAAATACGTCAGCTAATACAGTTAATATTAATCACAAAAAATGTTGTTAATTTATTTTAATTATGGCATTTGTCTGGTACAATTATCACAATAATGCATTGGCATATTTTTAAAGAAAATTTAACTAATATGATAAATATATAATTTATACTTTTATTAACTCAACATTTTCTGAATATAAGTAAAATAACTGTTACCATAAATTTAAATTATTATGGTCTACATAATGATGAAACAATCATAAAATTATGCCAAGAATTATTTATTTTATTTTAATAACCTAATTTACAATATAATACTACATATGTATATATACTTATATAATACAAATGTATTATAGTTAAAATTAGTTTACAGAATTATTTGGTTCATCGAATTATTGAACTAATATATATATATAGGTATAGATGTATAATACATAGTTATAGACGTACAAGTATTGGAATATAATTTAAATAAAGAGTAATTTATTTTAATTTTTTTTAACGTGATAAAAGATATAGTAATAATTTAAGCTGAAATATTTTTAAATGTATTCGTTCTTTACTTAATATGAAAATATTGTAGGTATTGTGGTATAACTGAGGTTATGATATACTTAAAAAATATTAAATTATTCACATGCTTATTAGCTATATATCTAAGTTATCAAGTGGGTCACGATCGATTACACTGTTCTATAACTATGTATTAGGGGAACGGAAAGAAGAAAATAAGAGAAAAATATATATATTAATATGTATGTATAATATAATAAATATTATACATTATAATTAAATGCAAAAATAACTCTGCATATAAGAGTGTGTCAAACTATTATATTCCTATATAATAGGAATATTATGATGTTATAATTTAATTAATCATGACTAAGAGTAATATACATTTTTTATGTTTGTATTGATTTTATCTAATAAACTTTAACATTGGCACTCCGGAAAATTAACATTTGATACTTAGTGAATATTTTAGATAAAAAAAAAATGATTCATTGGATTCTTACAATAAGCATTTTATAATAAATGATTTAAAGAACTAATTACATTCATTTTTAAATTTGGAAAACTACTATCCTATTTTGGACATTTTCTAAATTCTGTTCGATTTGTTTATGATGATGCGTAATAAATGACAATCAAAACTATTCGTTCATAAACAGTAAACATTTTGTTAAAAAAGATTTTTAATGAGTAAATTCTATTTCAATTACTAATAATGATATAAAAATGTCTAATTATAGAAACATAACACCTTTAAAGTCTCATCAGTTATAGCATAATTATTTTAACATTTAAATTTAAATAGAATAATTTTGTATATCGTCTATTAAAATAATTTGATTTTAATTTAGTGTGAGGAATGAATAAAGTTTTTTAAATAATCCATACAAACATTTGTCATACACACACGTGTCACACAATTCCTTATACAGGAATCCTTGGATAATCATAAAAATAATAAAATCCAAGACAAATAATTTATAATATATTTCAATCATATTATATTCTTGTGTATAAGAGCCAATTATTAACTTTTACAAAATAATAAGAAAACAATTTAGTTTTTAATAAGTTTTATGAAATAGGTGCTAATTTTTATACGATTGAATACAATTTATATTTTATTATAAAATATTCAATAGACCACAGCTCAAATGATTGATATACTAAGCTATATATATATATATAAGTATAGTCAATTCCACGTACAATGATAAGCCGTTGGTATCTACTACATAAAAAGTCAATAAATATTTTATATTTTTCCATTACAACTGCTATAACTTTAGAACACGCAAGCATTGTGAATTCAAAACATGCACGCCGAAATACGATTAATAAATATTTATGCTTCAAAATATCCTTTAGAAGCACTTCGCAGCTAAACATATAGTTACATTCTGAAGGCAATACATTTGACGTCGTGAT